CACCCTTCTTGAGTAAATTAGTGAGCGGACGGCTGATTAACCCAAAGTTTTTCACAAACCTCCGATAATACCCAGCCAATCCCAAGAATCCTCGAACCTCTTTGACGGTGGTGGGAGTTGGCCAATCTCGGACTGCTGAAATGTTTTTATCATCCGTCGATACCCCCTCGGCACTAATAACATGCCCAAGATAAGTCAATTTTTGCTGAGCAAACTTGCACTTAGAGAGGTTGAGGTGAAATTTGTGCTGAGCTAGGAGCTGAAATACTTGTTGCAGCAATTCGATATGCCTCTGCAAGGTCTGACTATGCACCAAAATATCATCGATAAATACCAACACTCCTTTGCGAAGTAATGGCGCAAACAGAATGCTCATCGCACCCTGAAAGGTAGCTGGTCCACCTGTAACCCCATTTGGCATCACTTTAAATTCATAATGGCCATGGTGCGTCTTGAAGGCTGTTTTATGCCCATCCTCTGGTTTCATGCGAATTTGATGATACCCTGCCCGCAGATCCAAACTGGTGAACCAAACAGACCCAGCCAACTCGTCCAACAATTGTTCTATAATAGGGAGAGGGAAGCGGTTCTTGACAGTGATGGCATTCACATGTCTGAAATCAATGCAGAAATGCAAACTGACATCCTTCTTCTGGACTAACAGCACCCGGGACGCATAAGGACTGCAGTTGTGCTGAATGATACCTTGCCTAAGCATTTCAGACACTTGCGCCTCAATTTCATCCTTTTGAGCTGGGGTATAATGATATGGCCGAATGTTGACGGGCTGTGCACCTGGAATCAACAGAATGTTGTGGTCAACTGCTCGCTGTGGGGGCAATCCAGTAGGTGGCTCGAACAGGTGAGCGAACTGCTTCAAGAGTGTCTGCACCACTTCAGGCACAACTGCACTGTCAGGCTCACACTCAACAGCACACACCTGAATAACTTGATGAATATCGTTGTTGGCCATTAAGAGATTCAACTGAGCCGAGGATAACTGAAAACACTACTGAACATTCGGTTGAACTCCCTACAGCAAAATATCCTGCCCGTGATGCTCAAACTGCAGCTATTTCTGACCCTAATGAACATCCATAGGACTGTGCGCCTCCAGCCAGTCCATACCCACAATCATGTCATAACACCCCAACGGCAGCACTTTCAAGGTTGATCTGAACTTCTGCCCTTGCACAATCCATTGACAATCCGGAAGTTCATGGGTGCACTATATTTGTCCTCCATCAGCGACACGCACCAGAAGGGAACGAGTGGACACCACCACACCAGACAAGCGAGCTGCTAAGGTAGAACTGAAAAAACTATGTGAACTGCTAGAGTCAATGAGAATCAACACCTTGTGCTTTTGGATGGATCCTTGCAAGCGCACAGTTTGAGGTGCGACAGTACCGTCCACTGCTGCTCTGGAAATTGTGTGACACTCACTAGTAGAGTCTGACTGATCGGATTGACTGTCAAATCCAGAAATGCCTAAGACATCAAAAAGCTCTTGCACAACATGCAACTGCACAGCGGTAGCGCACTTGTGATCCTTGGACCATTTCTCTCCACACAAATAGCAAAGCCTCCGTGCACGGCGGTAGGCTCGGAGAGTAGTCAACCGCTCATCAGTAGAGGGAGTCGAGTGCGCCAGAGTATTGGGCGCAGCTTTCCGATCCCCTGCAACATCCGTCACTGGAGGAGGACGTCCGGGTGGTGTAGGCAATGGCATCGCACCACGCAAATGTAATCGAGTCCCCACACCACTGTCTGTGCGACGAGATTCACGCCTTTTCGAAATTTCCAGTGCTTCTTCCTGCAAACATGCCAAGGAAATAGCAGTATCCATGTCGCGGTGGTTGTGAACAAGAACAATGACCCGAATTTCATCCTTAAGTCCATCAACAAAATGGGACGAAAACAAGGCAGGATCCCAAGAACTGCTATGAGCTAAAAGAGAATGCATCAGATCATTAAACTGAGCCACATACTCAGACACCGAGTCCGTCCGACGCAAATGAAAGAGTTAACGCAGCAGAGAATTGTACTCATTGCGTTCGAATTGGTCATAGACCAGCGAACAGAACGGCTCCCACTCCATATGACTAAGATCAAAACGTCCATTCTCTAACTAGATCATGGCAGGACCCGCAAAATGCATCGCTGCCGTATCTACCCATAATCCCGGATCCAAGTGGAACACTCTAAAGTAAGACTCATAGTTACGTTTCCAACTACGCGGCCGCTCCCCCAAAAACAGAGGAAAATCCATCTTGGGTCGGGGCGGCAGGGAAGGGCGCATACGCCTCATACTGCCAGAACGAGAAGGCTGCCGAAAGTGGGTTAATCCCGACGAAAACTGACGCCGTTCTGGAGAATGAACAAGTGAACGCGAGCGAGATTCATGGACGGCTGACGTACCCGTGACCGGAGGTGGAACAAGGGTAGTTACTACCCCCGCTCGCGCCCCCCGGAAAGTTGTGTCGTCGTGGCGGCCATCGGGCCTGAGAGTGGTTGCCGCGGCGACGAAGGTGTCATGCGGCGGTGGCTCTGTCACCAATGGCGGCAGATCCGTCGGCTTCATCGACAGGATCGGGTTGCGGATGACGTGGTCCAGGTCACGCCGAACTCCGCCCAGATCCGTCCTTAGATCAGTCACCGCCTGATCCAAGGCCGGTCTCCACTCCGCTAGATCGACGACGGCAGGCTTGGTCTCCTCAAAAAGGGTTGTGGACGCCGCCAATGCCTTCTGGATGGAGGCTTTTTGCTCCTGGATCGTCTTGAGCGCCGCCGCCAACTCATCAACGCGCTGCTCCATCGTTACTGCTTTCCTCTGCTGACGCGTGGAGAAAGTGGGTCGCTGAAGATAATCTGGCAAATCTGATACCATATGTTACGCCCTCACTGCTTAATTCATCAGATCCATGGAGATACAAGTAGTTTTTCGGGGAAGGAGGGAGGGATTTAGAGAGGAGGCACGATTCAGGAGAAGAAGGGATAAAGGGGAAACTGCTAGCTCCCCCGGCTCCCGTGTCGTCCCCCGCGGGCGACCCGGGGGCGACTAGGGTTTCCCCCCGGCGCCGCCACCCCCTCCAGCATCTCCTCCCCTTGCCGCCACCTGAGGGATGCCAGGCAAGCCGCGGCGGCCGCCGATGAAGGTGGCGGCTAGGTCCCTCGTCGCTTCGTTCCCCTCGCGAAGGACCACGGACTCCGGGGCGGCGGCCCCGGTCGGCGAGGCGGTGCGGCCTCTGCGATAGGCGGCGTGCGCGGGATGTGGCGGCCGGCCTCCTCGGCTGCTCGGGCGGCACGGAGCCGGCGGGGGGTGGTCGTGGCGCGGATTTCTTCCGATCCAGATCTGAAGGTCGGGCTGTTTTCTCCTCCTCTGCTCACTCCTCTCCTCTGGTTGTCTGCTCTGCAGCTTTGGCTGCCAGTTCCGGTGCCGGCGGTGTGCTGGTGGCATAGTCTGAGTCCGGGGGAAACCCTTGGTCGGCTCTCTGACCACGGCGGTGATGGCGCGTGCGCGCATCGCCTTTCTCCTTCGAGGCACCGCTCGGGACTCCCCTATCCATCCCCGTCCCAGATCCCGGGTGAAAACCCAAAACTCGTCTCGGGTTGGGCGGTGGCGGCACCATGCGCGTCATTCCCTCCTTGGAGGCGCCGCCTTGGGTCGTCTGGTTCTCCGGGTGAGTGGCGCCGAGGTAGGTGAGCGCCCGTCGGCTGCGAGTCCAAGCAGAGGCTTCTCCAAGCTTCGGCCTTGGGTCTTTGCAGCTGGTTTCTTCGACAATCCCCCCAGTGGCTTTCCTTCTGTTCTTGGTTGCCCGGGCAGGTGGCAGTGCAGCTAGTGGTGTGAGCCTATGGCGTGGTGAGAACCGTGAGCCAGGCCTGTTCTGGGTTACGACCGGCACATGTCCGTGCTCTCGGGTGAGCGCCCGACGACCCGACGGTGCGGCGCCTTCGAGCCTAGACGAGAAGATTGGGGTCTTCTTCGGCGTTGGAAGACAGGTTGCGGGGTCCCAATCCCATGATCCGGCTGCTCTCAGTGCTTGCAGGCCTTTGGTTGATCCCCGAGGCTTCTCTGCTTTCCTGCTCCTGGTGTCGATGTGCAGCAGGCTTCGACATTACTTGCAGATCTTTCATGTCTCTTCCTTTGTGTGCAGTAGTGTGCGTTGCGTTGTAAGCTGTTCACTCGGCTCCCTTGTATCTTTCGGTCGCTCTTGCTTGGTGGCCTTGTGTAATCCTGGCCGGTTGATGGCTTTGTTAATTTAAAGTCGGGCTCCCCCTTGAGCCTTCGTTCTAAAAAAAAGGAGAAGAAGGGAATGGGGATAGGGTTACAACCAGTACTCAGCCGTGCCCTCCACTCCGCACACACCGCTACTTAACCTACATCTCCTAGGTCTCTGGATCGAAAAGCCAGTTGGGCCTTTTCCTCCTCTTGGGCGGTGCCAGGCCGTCCCGCTCCTCAGGTAGGCCTTGAGTGGTAACTGGGGACGTGACAAATTTATAGTCAAATTCAGGACGCACTATATTGTGAAATGGAGGGAGTACTAACATAGGTGCTAATGCATCTTCCGTGTGTGGAACATGCCCGTCCACAACACCTGAAGATGATAGGACATCAGATGTACACGGTGGCCTGCGCAGCGCGATTGGAGGTTTTATGGGAGCACAGCCAAGGAAAGGACATCGAGATGGCGACGCCGGTGGCCCTGCTCTCTCCGGTCGTACCACTCTCGCTGTCGTCCGTACGAGGCGTTTCGGGCATCCCGTAAATCAAGCATCTGGTGATGATTTCGTATGCGCGCGGCTCCTTTCGTTTCGTTTCAGCCAAATCACCAACGTACTCATGCATTCATAAATGGGCGTTTTGTACTCTTGTCTCCTCTTCGTCTTCCCGTTTAAATCTTCTTTCCCGGACTAGATATACTAGCTCCGTGCCTCTAGTATTGCACAGCATATGTATACTTCGTAGCTAGGCTTGGTACGTTGCTAGCTAGGTATACATGGAGACGGAGCTGTCTCTGGCCTTGGGTCGCCCTGAAACCGGCGACAGCGGGGTGGCCGGCCGGGGTGCGGGCAACGGCGGGAAGGCCGACGATGAGGTCCAGCCGCTGTTCCCGTGCCTCTTCTGCGACAGGAAGTTCCTCAAGTCGCAGGCCCTCGGGGGCCACCAGAACGCGCACAAGGAGGAGCGCGCGGCCGGCTGGAACCCCTACATCTACGGCCGCTACCCCGTTGCCAATCCCACCTCGTCTCGCGCCGCCGCCAACAAAAAGTCGATCCCTATGGCCACGCACGGTGGTGGCGGAGCCGCCGCCGCACCGCCCCTCCATGTCGTTCGTGAGGCTGGCACGCTGGCTCCGTCCGTCCACGGCGTGCGAGCGGGAGCCGGCCCGTTCTACGGCGTCCACGACGATGTGGGGGACATGCTAAGCTCGGAAAGGTCACCGGCCGCTGAGCCGGCATCGGAGAGCAACACCGGCGTAGGGATCGACCTGGAGCTGCGACTCTAGCTTATTTAGCTACCGACGACATGCATCTTGCAGGATTATCTTCCAGTCTCTTGGTTATTTGCCTTTATCAATCTATCTTCTGAAGGTTTGTGTTGCCCTTCAGTTTTTGTTTTGTTTTGCTTGTGAAGTGCCTTTATTTCTTCAGACTGATGGTTCGTTGCCTTAGTCAAGCTGTCAAGCTCAAGCATGACTCACTTGCCATACTATTGAGTAATTCCAAATATTATTGCATCGCCTCGTCAAATTGCTATATTTGTGATTGGTACATAAATAATATCTCAACGTGGTTCTGTCTTACAAATGTGTTATGTCCAACATTAGAGTAGGCATATTACTTCATGCAGTGTTCAATCGGGCACGAATAAGTACTCCCTCCGTCCGAAAATACTTGTCTCCGAAATGGATGTGTCAAGACTTGTTTTAGTTATAGATACATCCATTTTATCCATTTCTAGGACAAGTATTTCCGGACGGAGGGAGTAGCTTTCTGTTTTCTCTGTAACTTTCTTAATAAGACAGGTGTGGGTAGTGCATTTGTGTGGCCAGAATTTGTTACACATTGCTGTAACTAATCATCAATCCATGCATCTGAATGGGCTAGCTTAATCTCGGTTAACCAAAATGATTTCTAAAGAAATAGAAATTTCCTATCACTTGGAGATATAATTTGTAACATGTAGTATTCCGTTGTTACCAACTTACAAGTAGAACGTCTTTTGAATAAGGAACTTCATATTGGACATTTTATATATACATATATGGTTCTGTACTATAACTTATGTTTTTTATTTGTAAGAAGTTTATTCAGTTCTCAACTTTGCATTGCTTTATTAGATTCTTATTTGGGTTTGGTTGTTCAATAGTTACAAAAGGTATTGTGACCTTTAACAAGATGTATTCCATTCGGAATCAGATTTCAAGAACGGACTTAGTTGCGGTTTTGAACACATAGTCTATGCATAACATGGGAGAACTTTTTTGTTGTTGCAATAAACACATACACAGAAATGTCTTACTGAAATTAATAATTGGCATGCACATATTCACATGATATCTAACATACGTAGTTCTAGTATGAAAACAAAAAAGATGGCACACACAGTTCAGACTTGTCATAGTTAATTCAGTTATAATTTGCTACGTACCAAATGGCATTTAAAAATGGTAACAGGATTTTTGTTTTTGTTGCATTTATCATTTGTAAAGAGTATCATACATTGAACATTAGCTTTCGCTACAGCTACATGACACAAACAACAATCATCATTGGATCAGATGGCATGTAAAACATGACATATTTGATCACAATGTGAGAAGTACATCTCAAAAGCTAATTCATCTCTTGTTGTTACAAGGACTAAGAAATGTGCTTGTTAAAACATATTATCTTCAACATGCACCATCTTTTTTTCCACATTTATAGGAGAATTTTTCTACTAACCTTTTTTTATATATATTCTAATGCGATGTTTGATAACTTATGTTGAGTACTAATAACATCTCCATCGTCGGGGGCATAAAGTGATATCAGTTTGCTTATCTTGTCTTGCCCAAAACACGCAAGGTAAGATGCCTATATCCAAAGAAAATGATATTCCCATGTCTCAATATCAGCTCTTTTTATCATACAAAGAATAATAGATTCCAAGTTTTACTCATATGGAGGGAAACTATTTCAATTACACGAAGATGACAATACCCAAGAGAACTTTGTAACTTTCAATTGTGAGAGAAGAAATTGGTTCGATGAATTTGGTTTGGTAAAATGTCACTAAGTTTGGCTAAATTTAATCATAGACTCGTATCCTAGAGATCTAAAATTTGATTGAAGACACATTCAATAACATAAAAATCATTCAGACATTACAGAACATGAAAGTTCCACATTTCAAAGTGTGCAACTATTGTATACTAGCTAATTGCCCATGCGTTGCAATGATGGCATGTATATTCAACTGGTTCAACACCAACTGTGTCCAAGATATACCTTACACCCACCATATGCTAGATTTTGATAAAAATTGATTTGAGTATATGTAGATGTGTTGGTAAGAAAAGGCAAGAAAAGGCAAGAAAAGTTTTGATTTAGTTGAGGTCTTGGTAAGATTTGATTTGATTTGTAGATGTGTACGGTAGGGAAAGGAAAGTTTTGATTTAGTGGAGGTTTTGGTAGTATTAGATTTGATTTGTGCATGGGTATGGGAAGGCAAGGGAAGCTTTCATTTAGTTGATGTTTTTGTAAGATTTGATTTGATTCTATTGAGTTGGTACAAAACATGGTTTTGGTAAGATTTGATTGAGTTAACGCAGGACATGGTTTTCAGTAGGACAAGGAAAGGAAAATACCAATTTGATTTAGATGAAAAAGTAAATGTATGGGGAGAGGGGGAGGACGTGAGGAGAATGTACCGACTCCCCTTTAATAGTAGAAATCTAAAGTGCAATTGCCCAAACTAAAATTTTACAAACAAAATTAAATCATCAAGGCATAGTACGAAATAACTTTTTTTGTATATTAAGTATTGTTGTGGAAAATAAATAAGCATATTTGGGGTCTCAACTAATCTTACGTGGACTTTCAAAGGAAGTACAAGCCAATTAGCGAGACCGAAGACGGTCAACAAAATCCAAACCAAATGAAACGGTCAACACTTATAATGAGAAAGTAAATAAAAATACTAATTCAACAAAGGAAGCAAGGAGAAAAATGAGTCCAAGCCTAAAACAGTCAAACTAGCCAAGCCACCACATTCATGAATGGATGAGAGAAAGTGGCTCACCATGATCGAAGAACACATCCACATTTGACTACCCTTCCTGGACTTACAGAGTTGCTTTATCTTCCTACCCCTCAAACCTACCACCTCGTTGAGTAGCCCTGGTCATTTGTCAAGGACTCCTTACATGTATAAGCTCCCCACAACCATGTAACTCATTCACTCTCACTTGAATAAACTCAATGGGAGGACAGTAGAGCAACAAGACGTGTTTGGGAGTTCTAGGGTCGAGAGGCGACAAGGGTTTGTGGTGTTCGATGTTCCGAGCGTTACAAACTTGATCATGATGAGTTAGGTTTTTGGAAAGATGTTGGAAACTTCCAAACTTCAGCACAGCTCACGAAGACAACAACATACCAAAGAAACATATATCATTTGTTACCATTTATTAGGTTTCTAGAAGTTTGTGAATTGCATTTGTCGAACTTTTAATTATGTGCAAACCTATTATTCATAATAGGTATGTATTATCGACACCACTTTGTCATATATAAATAAAATATAGTAATATGTCTATGAAATATGTATGAATTGTTCAGCTTCCTCAACATTTAGGGTCTGCTAAAAGGCAGTGCATTATAACGGCTTGTTAATGAAGAATACACTATTGATGGGCCTCGACGCCTAACATATACATCAGCCACCCCAATCTCAACCAGTTCATCCTCAATATGGATGACAGGTTCAAGAGGCCCGTCGGTGCTTTGTCAACTCCATTGATGGGCTAGCCGACACATAAATTCATCTTCATCACTCGCGGAAGTTACTGATGGATTGGCGACCCATAACTGGTGAGGGGTTTTGTTTCATCAACGATAAGTGGTTATGTTATAGTGAAAAATCGTGTGATCATTATTGGCCTGTCGAAACAGGGTTAACCATGCCAAAACATTATCACCTCAGCGAGTAAGGAGGACCCCCCCCACACACACACACACAGACACACACACAACCACCACCACAAATCATAATGCACCTCGACAACATCTATGTTGTTGGCAGCACCATTGACTATCCAGATTTGATTTCTTTGCGGTCATTTCCCATTACGGTTGGTTTGTATACAATTTCTAAATTTGAGAAACAAAAAAATCATCCAATTCAATTTTTCAAATTTGTAGTTTTTCCATAACACGTATTTGAGTTACCTAGCCTTTTTATAGAGAATGACAACACTTCATTGATTAATAAACACTGTTACAAAGTTCATCCTGGATACATTCTGAAATCACACCATCATAAATACTCCCTCCATTTTTGTATACAAGACCACTATCAAAATTACAATTTGTAGCTATACAAGGCCACTAACACAAATCGATGTAAAATTGATGAGGTTTGCCTCGTACTACCAACTAAAGACATTAATACCTCATGCATGCATGCAGGAGTGAGAAGATTGATTTGCATGCACCGTATTAATCAACCAACTAAGAGTGAGAGAGTTGTCTTGTTGTGCATTGGAGAGAAAAATACACATTAATTAACACGTCAAGCAAGGAGAAAAGACTAGTTTGCAACATTGGTTTAAGTAGCCATTAATTTTACCTTGGTATATGTAATATGGGTTTGTGGCCTTGTATACAAAAATGGAGGGACTATGATTTACATCATGCTCACAGCTACGAGCTAATTTGTGTGCCACTACATTCAATTCACACTTGACATGAAGGTAACAACATATGATAAAACCAGATGCCGGACACAACAGCCCCCAATGTTGATATATCTTGGACCCAAAACTTGATCCTTTTCACACTACAAGAAATATGTCAACTTGTGACCTTGACTATTGGTCACTGAATGGTCATTGTTTTTCAGACCTTTTTGTGACCAAAAACAGAAGGTCAAAAGCTGGCGGTCGTAAACTGAAATTAATGACCTTCTCTGTGAAAACGTCGTAGACGTTTACGACCAAAACAAAAGGTCGTTGATCCTACGACCTTCTGTTTTGGTCACTAGCTGTCCGCCCAGGCCATGTCGGATCCGACGTGGCTAGATGATGTGGCAAAATTGCGACGAAATGAAAAGGTCGTTGATAAGAATTAGCCCGATCCGATTGGGTGTTTTACATGGGCCAGGCCCAACAATTCAGCCTTTTATATTTTTTTCCTATTAATTCTGGACAGCCACATGGGACAAAGCCTACAATTCGGCCTTTTTTATTTTCTGGGCTGTGGCCTTTTTCCATTCTCTATAATTTTTATTTTTTGGCTTTTATCT